CGAGCATTTCTTGCTGCTAATAAATAGGGAGTTTTTTCAGTCGTCGAGGGTGCAATATACCTTGATCGATGAATAGGAGGAGAAGAATGAGTAGGAGGTAGAGGTTGTTGAGGCGTCTGAACCTTTGAAGGAGGAAGAGAAAGAGGATTCGAGAGAAAAGAGAAAGCTGAAGAGATGACATGTAAACTAGTCTTTAGATTCTTTAGTCTTTTCAATTTCAAAAGAATTAGCTTTTGACGATTTTAATTTCTCTCAACAGGAGAAGCGACGAGTATATGTTATCAACATTGATTCCTCTTTCACTGAAAACATATGTTTTCTCTCTAAAGCCTCTTCAGATGTCAACTAGTTATAACACAAAAGGCTATCTTATCTCAATTTCAAGACACTGAACAATTTATCAAGAAAGGAACTAGTCACTGGACTTYTTCAACACTCTTATTCAAAGGAATCTCTCTGCTCAACATGTGAGAAAGGAAATCAAACCAAAGCWAGTTTCACATCAAAKAAAGTCTCTTCAGTGACTACTCCTCTTCATYTACTTCACATGGATTTATTTGGCCCTGTCAGTATACAATCCGTCGTTGGAAAGAAGTATGCCCTCGTTATTCTTCAYGAATTCTCTAGATTTACCTGGGTCATCTTCCTCATATCCAAGAGTGACACCTSTGAAGAAATCATTTCCTTTCTTAAGAAAATGGAAGTACTAAATAGCCAAATTGTTTGCTCAATAAGAASTGATCATGGTACWAARTTCAAAAATGGTRCCYTGGATAACTTCTTTCARAGYAAAGGAATTTCTCATAARTTMTTAGATATAAGGATACCACAATAGAATGGAGTCCCTAAGCGCATAAATGCAACCATTATTGCAGCCCYTCCACAATGCTCAACAAATCTCATCTTCCAACTCAATTATGGGTATAAGTTGTTAACAMTRCATGTTTCACTTAGAATCACTTGTTTATTGTCAARCAATTCAAGAAGACAACTTATGGACTCTTTCATCGAAGAAAGCCCACACTCATCTTTCTTCATATCTTTGGTTGTCAGTGTTATAATTTAACAACAAAGATAATCTTCGAAAGTTCGATTCTAAAGTTGATGATGGTATTTTCCTTGGATATTCTTCTATATCCAAAGCATTCAAAGTATTCAACAAAAAGAAGGCAAAGCATTGAAAAACTATTCATGTAGTTTTTGGTGAATGTCGTTCAACTAAGTCGAAGCCTATTCCCAATGATAAAGAGTTAAATCAATGGATGATATCTCACTTTAGAGAACCTGAAGCATCCTTCAGTAATCATCCTCATATTGGAGAACCTAATGTTGATGATGATCCAAACACCAATCCTGGTGTCCATAAAAGTAGATTTGATTCCTCTTCAAAGATCTYTGTTGTTCTTCTTAACACCATGCCACCCTAAGTTTTATTAAATGATGATCATTCAAWTGTTGAACCATCTTTGACCTTTAAACCTCTTTCRATGAATAGTACTCTATTTGAATCTCTTCAAGAGATAAGATTGAAYGTTGATGAATATGTTTCTAAAACCTCATCTTCAGTACCTGAGCCTCTGCTGAAGACTCAGATCTGACTCCTCAGCTACCCGCTCAGAGATGGACRAATAATAACCCCATCGAACAAATTCTTAGTGATCCAAACAAAAGTATTCAAATCCGACATGGTTTAGGTAATATTYGTCCCTTTGTTAATTTCATTTCTCTCTTAGAAAAACCAAGAAAWTTGATGATGCCATCAGGGATCCAAACTAGGTCAATGTTATGTGAGAGCTGACCAAGTTCGAAAGAAATAAARTTYRATATCTTGTCCCTGGTTCATCCAAAAAGACCACTATAGGCACCAAGGGTATATCGTACAAATTGGATGAACATGACACTGTAACCTGAAACAAGGCTAGACTTGTTGCTCAGGGATACAAAYAGGAGAAGRCATAGATTATGATGAAACCTTTGCTTCAATGGCTAGGCTTAAAGAAATTCCATTATTTTTAGCCTWTGCTACTCACAAAGATTTCAAGGTATATCAAATAGATGTGAAGATTGCATTTCTTAATGGCAAACTTCAAGAARAACTCTATGTTGAAAAACCTCCATCTTTTCTTGATTCTAAGTATTYAGATCATGTCTATAAACTGGATAAATCTCTCTATGGGYTGAAACAAGCACCTCGTACTTGGTATGATACAATATCCTATTTCTTATYGTTGAAAAGTTTGAACGTGRAAAGRTCAATAGCACTCTGTTTCTTAGGAAAGTAAAGGGTCATATTWTTCTTGTTCAGATACATGTTGATGACATTATCTTTGGATCCACAAACCCACCGTTGTGTGTAAAATTCTTGAATATGATAAAGAGAGAATACAAAATGATCATGATGGGTGAATTAACTWATTTTCTTGGTCTTCAGATAAAAAAAATCTAAAAAAGTATCTTCATAAGCGAAGGTAAGTATGTTAATGATATGCTGAATTTTTTTGACCTAACCCAATGCTCGGCTATGAGAACCACTATGGTACCTTCCTTTAAAGTTCAACGAGGATTTTAATGGGAAACCTGTTAACGTTATTTCCTATAGAGAGATGACCAGCTCTTTGTTGTATCAGCACAACTCGTCAACCAGATATCATGTATTTTACTTGTTTATGTGCACGATATCAATATGAACACAAAGAATCTCATATGATTGCTGTAAAGCGAATATTCAGAAACCTGAAGGTACACCCAATCTTGGTCTTTGGTATCCTACAGATTCAGGGTTCAATCTAATGGGGTATTTAGATAGTGATTTTATAGGTTGTAAGATGGATAGAAAAAGCACAACTAGAGGCTGTTAGCTTCTAGGTGGAAAGTTGGTGAGCTGGACAAGCAAAAAAACAAAACTCAATGTCCATATCAACTGTTGAAGTTGAATATGTCGTTGTTGGTAGTTGTTGTGCTCAAGTCATTTGGATGAGAGATCAACTCAGTGATCATGATCTTCAGCTATAAAAGATCCCTATCTATTGCGGCAGTGCCATTGCTATTGTCGTCGTTAACAATTCTGTTCTTTACGCAAAGACTAAATACATTGAGATCCGATATCATTTCATTAGAGAGTATGTGTTGAACCAACGATATTGAATTTCACTTCATTCTCACTGAGTACCAACTCCCTTGATGAAACAAGGTTTAACATTTTAATCAATGAACTTGGAATGCTGAACACTAAGGATTAATCCTT